AAAATTGATTGGTCTATTTTCTTATGCACATGTGTATGGTTCAATCAATTTTCTTATGCTTACGCACTATGCGTTATGCAGAAGTGTGTGCCTCCCGCTTGAGCCCTAAATGTAGAATAAAGAGTGACACAGGCAATAGACACAAGGTTTTTTCGCGTCGCATACACCAAGTCCACCAAGAGCACTTGGATCAGGGATAAAAGGTGGCGATTGGAGCAAATGAGTTTTTGGAGTGCATTGGAGTGATTAGGAGCATGATGGGGCATGCGACGCGACCAAACCTACAGTTTTCGTCACGTTGGAAATTCTGTGCCTATTGCCTGTTGCCTGTTGCCAACCAATCATAGCATACGAATTTTTTAGGTTGTAATTAACGATTTTTTGGTTATTTCCTGCTTCTATTGCCTTTTGCCTGGCATTGTGCAAGGAGCTTTATTTATTCTTGTAAAGTGTCGATAACCTCACCTGATTTTTCGTACACATGCCCCTTATTACTGTATATTTAACATATGGGCTATTCCGCGTGAACCGGATCAGTCACCTCTCAGAAATGAATCAAATTTTGCATATCGGTAGTTTCTGACGAGATAAAATATGGTGTCAAATATATATTTTTTAATTGCAAATTTTTTCGATTTATAAATAATGGAAAATTTACCGACTTTTTAATTAATAAGTGCATAACTTTTTTCCTTTAAGTGCAATACAAAAATTTTTTAACCCTTAAATGCCACCCGGGGTCCAGCGGACTCCAGACCCTTTACAATGATATATTTTCAAATGTTCCCCCCAAAAATGGAGCTCATGCTCCCATTGATGATAGTTGAGTGATTGACCTACCCGGTTGTACACTTAGCGGTACTCATTGCAGTTTATTAATTTTTTATACTATGTTGAAATTGAAATTTTAACAATATAAGCATTTTTATTCTCTTTTCTAAGCCTTGAACAACATTGAAAATAATTTTCATAACTAAATGTCAAAAAATCAATGAGTAAGGAGACATTTTTCATGCTGGGGTCTTTTAGACCCCATGTGTCATTTACGAGATTCTTGAGAGGTGTGGCATTTAAGGGTTAAATAAAAGTTATCACAAAAAGACTATATTTTATGATAAAATTATTTACAACATAAAAAAAATTATTTCGTACTATTTCTTACACAAATTATTTTTTAATAATTTTTTAACTGTCAGGGAGACGATCGAAAAATAAAAAAAAATTTTGTTAGAAACTTTCAAATACTTCCAATATACCACAAAAAATTGTCGTCGATGTGTTCAGTTTCGTTATCGAGAAAATAATTTAATTTTTTTACGCGTGAAGAATCGGTACTCGGTGCGGCAGCCACGTCTGTACGGTGACCGCTCTCGCTCGCTGGCAGCGCGGCGCGCTAGGCAAACATAATATCCAAGTTAATTTTCTCAAAAACGAAATACGATGATGATTCGCGACCACGGTTTGCTGGACTTTTCTCGTTTGCTTCACTCAGACCGAAGTGGATTGAAGATACGGCGAATTTGACCGGGACGCGAATCGCGAACGATTTTAAACGGGCGGCTCCGAGTAATTAATTAAGAGGAACACCTTCTTAGGGCGTGTCCCAAGCGGTCACGTGGAATTTCTTCCTCGTTCCGCCGGGTTGGTTGTGCACCATCTATCTGCACACGTGCGCACCTTTTTGTTAATATAACACGTTTTTCTTGTACATACAAATCTTCATTTTTCCTACTTCTTTTCTTCTCTCTCTCTCTCTCTCTCTCTCTTTCTCTCTCTCTCTCTCTCTCTCTTGAGAATTTAATTGACTATATCGGCAATAAATCGTGGTAAAACGATTATAATCATCGTGACAAATCGTCACCGAGTTTCGACCAAGGATTCTGGTCAATCTAAAGTTGATGTAATTTTATATGCTTATAATATAAGCATCAATTAAATAATTAAATTTATTGCAAAAACGATTACCTTGGCTGAGGTAATATTTTTCGCAATAAATTTAATTATTTAATTAAGATGCTAATATATATATCTGTTTTTTGTTCCTTATATTTTTGATTCTGCAAATTCTTTGGCAGCTTCTGAAACAAAATCAATCATAGAAGAATATTATAAATAAAGAAGCAAGTATATTATAAATAAAGAATATTATAAATGAATTGAGAGAGATCAGCATTCATTTTCAAACAAGTATTTGTCTTGCGACTTACCTGATAGACACGTCTTAAGGGGATCCTAAAGCCGTTTGTATTACCGACCAAATTCTATATCTGTCCTTGTATAGACAATGATGATAGACATGTCTATACATGGTTATAGGTTATAATTTCTTCGAACGTCTCATTTTTATTCCAGGCTTTCAATCTTAATTTCAAAGGTACGTTATTGTTTGTGCACGTCTTCTGAAGGGTGGGAACATTTCATTTCGTACATATTACTTATACAACTGTTTATATTAGAAAATGAGGTAACAGCATTTTTAATTTTTTTCAATTATTACTAATTATTTTACATTCCCACCCTTTATTAGTACCTATATTTTACTCCTGTAAAAGGATTTTGCGATCTATAAAGCCGTTTCAAAATTAGACCTTTGACTGTAATTGTCGGTAATTGAGTCACTTTAGCATCCCCTTAAGAGGACAATATTGGTAACTGCTTTTTCTTGCCTTCTTTACTGGCTTATAACGCTCAAGGAACTCTTTGGCAGGTTCTGAAACAAAATCAGCCTCTGTCACATCAATGCCGCATTAGCTTCCATTCGATAGAAAAATCCTGTCAGTTTACAGATTGTTTCGGAGCTGAGTTCATAACGTGATTTATTTATTAATTCAATAATTCATTTATTTATTTTATCATTAAATATTAATTAATTTATGTATTAATAATTTAATGATAAAATAAATAAATGAATTATTAAATTAATAAACAAATCACGTTATGAACTCAGCTCCCGAGTAAGCAATCTGTAAACTGATATGATTTTTTAATTAATTAATTAATTAATTTTTAACTAATTAATGATTTAATTTATTCATTCAAATTCATTCATTCATTCATTCGTTCATTCATAAATAGTATTGTGCCAGCGACAATATTATTTACACCGATAGACTTACCAATATATTTGGAATCTGTATTTCCTGCATTGTGCAAAAACACAAACAATATTATATGATTGAAATAAATTAAAAATATATTTTGTCACTTTGTATATTTATTTCAAACTTACGTCGTGTCGAAATATGTGCGCCAGCCAAAAGACAGTTAGGGCCCGGACACACACTTTTTCGTAACAGTAACAGTAGGATTTCGACCAATCGTGTTACTCGATTCGGGAACGTACGGCCGTACGTTTTCGAATCGAGCAACGCGATTGGTGGAAATCCTACTGTTACTGTTACGAAAAAGTGTGTGTGGCCAGCTTTAGAGACAGCTTGCCGTTCTCGATTAGTCACGATGCACGAATAGTTAGAAATTTACACGCGTTTTGAATGCGTTCCAAAATGCATCAACTTTAGTGGACCAGCCATTAGTCTAGTTTAGAGCCACCGCACAAGACTCTCGTATGATCACGTAGCGTAACGTAACGTGAGCCAACGCACAAGAAACGTATTGGTTACGGCCGTTACGGCGTTATACGTTTCTTGTGCGTTGATCTACGTTACGTTACCATGCGAGAGCTTATGCGAAAGCTCTAATCGATACGTTTCTTGTGCGTTGGCTCACGTTACGTTACTACAAGATCATACGAAAGTCTTGTGCGGTGGCTCTTACACCAATCTTTTGATACGCGTATCAAATAGTATATTTGAGCTGATCAGCCAATAAGCAAACTAATTTACTAGTTTACACCATTAATGGCCTAGTTTACACAAATCACTTGATACGCGTATTAAATAGTAAATAACTAGTAAATAAATCTGATTATTGGTTGATCAGTTTAAATATACTATTTGATACGCGTATCAAGAGATCGGTGTAAACTAGGCCAATAACGCTGAGTGTATGTATGTACATACATACACACCAATTTAAATACTTATTCTCATGAAAGGACTACCTTAAGGGCCCTGGATACCCATGACAGCCATTTTGAATCGAGACTGTTATACTTGGGGTGGCCGGGGTAACTTATTAACAACACTATACGTAATTGAATACTCGTTCTTTATTCGGACGTTCACTGCTCGCTGTCTCGTGTGTTAATGCTCCCGTCCGTTACTCTAGCAACGCCATCTCACGCTTACTCGCTCACATACATTTTAGGGTTTATACATATGTAACATCCTCCCCTTTCTCAGAATAAACGTTTACCTTACAATCTATATTACAGTTGTGTCTTGACGTACAAAAGTCTTTGGTAATAAGTAATACAATTGCACGTTGCTTGAAACCTACTCCATTATATAATCTTTTAGGTGATTTGGTAACTTTCTGTCTCGTACAGGCCTACTTTGCGTTACATTAAGATCAGCACTTGGTTCTGACTTCGTTGCAACAACAGAATCATCCTGCGACTCCGATTCGGTTTTTACCTTGACATTTTGCTCCGATATTATTTCAACATCTTCGTCGGTTTCGCTAGGCTCTGCACGATTAAATTTCTTGACATGCGCTACATTTCGTTTAAACATTTTTCCATCCGCATTTTTAATCGTTACATTATCACCGGCTCGATCAACTACCTCGTACTTAACGCTTTCATACTCCGGACTTAATTTATCCCGCTTTATCGTTTTTAGTAGAACAGTGTCACCTAATTTCAACTCACTTTCTTTCACATTGTTTCGCAAATCATATCGCTCTTTACTTTTAAGCTTTTTCCAAGCATCCCTATCTCTAATAGCTTCATCTAGATTATTTCTGATCCCTCGCAATTCTGGCATTTTAGTTTTTATCTTTCGACCGAACATTAGTTCTGCTGGCGAAACCCCTGTCAATGCTTGTGAAGATGAGCGATACATAAGCAGATAGTCTAATATCTCTTGTTTCCAGTTTTTTCATTCGAGCTGTGCAATTTTTATGCGTTTAAGAAGACTGCGATTTTGTCTTTCGACTTCCCCATTCGCTTGGGGCCAATACGGCGCTACATGAACAAGTTTAATACCGCACCTAGACGTGTATTCCCTTATTTCTTTGCTTACTAATTGTTTTCCGTTATCAGATATTAACCTATTCGGATAACCATACCTCGCGAATATATGTTTCAATCTATCAATAATTGCTGCCGACGTAATTGATTGCATTATCTCTATTTCATAGAACTTACTGTAATAATCAATAATCACGAATATGAAATCTCCGGAAGGCAAAGGCCCAAGGAGATCCATTGCTAAACATTCCCACGAACTATCCGGCAGTGCGTTTGGTTTCAACGGTGAGATATTAGCTGTCTTTTGCACTATTTGGCAGCTCTCACACGTTTTTACAAAGTTTTCCGCATCTTTATCGATTCCTGCCCACCAAACCTTACTTCTTAGCCTATCCTTCATCGCAACAATACCTGGATGTCCCTCATGCGCTATTGATAATACTCGCTTCTTTAGCTTTTCAGGTACGACAATTTTCGTTCCCCGTAACACAACATTATTGTACACACAAAGTTCGTCTTTAATTGCTTTTATCCACGTACTGGATAATGACTCCCAGTTTCCTGTCGCAATCGTTTGCCTAACTTCACCTAACCACGAATCTTCGCGCGATTCTACTTCCACTTCTTCGATAGACATTGCTCTCGGCACACTCTCTTTTGCAACCCACGCGATAAACAATTCATCCTCACACTTACTTTTCTCCCCCTCGTTATTACCTATTTTTAATAAACGAGATAACGGATCTGCAATATTACTCTTTCCACTTTCGTATATCACTTTGCATTTGAACATTTGAAGTCTTAGCACCCACCTCTCTATGCGGCTGCATGGCTTTGATCTTGGTGCAAATATACATTCTAAAGGTGAAAGCACATAAAATTGCAGGAGCCATGAGCAGAATGCAGAAGCCATATGCGCATGCGCTGTAGTATCTGTTAGAGCTCTACAAATACTATAGCGCATGCGCATATGGCTTCTGCATTCTGCTCAAGGCTCCTGCAATTTTATGTGCTTCCACCTTAAGGCTTTATGGTCTGTGACCAATTTAAACTTAATACCAAAAAGCCAATATTTAAATCTTTCACACGCATAGACAAGTGCTAAAGCTTCTTTTTCCGTCTGTGAATATCTTCTCTCATAATCAGTTAAACTTCGACTCGCAAAGCTTATAATTCGCCATTGTCGATTCTGTTCTTGTGCTAAAACACAACCTATGCCTACCGGGCTAGCATCTGCAACCTATGCCTACCGGGCTAGCATCTGCAACTACTCTAGTTCTCGCATCCGGATTATAAATACCTAGCGTTTCTGCATCCGTCAGCTTATCTTTCAGCGTCTGAAATGCGATTTTCTGTGGTTCACCCCACACGAATGGTTCGCTCTTTCGTGTAAGCCTTCTTAAAGGTTCGCTAATTGTCGCCATATTTGGAATAAACGCTGCGCAAAAATTGACCAACCCCAGAAAACTTCTGACTTCTTCTGGCGTTTCGGGTTCTCTGAAATTCTGTACTGACTCAACTTTCGATCGCATTAATCGGTAACCTGACCCGTTTACTATAAATCCCAAAAATTCAATCTCCTTAACCGCAAAAACGCATTTATTTTTATTAAGCGTCAAGCCCTTCTCTAAGAGTCTATCAAGTACTTTCTGAAGTTTCCGATTATGATCTTCTAAATTCTTTCCATAAACCACAATATCGTCTGCACTATTTATTACCCTCAAGATCTCGTAAAATCTCTTCCAATGTTTCCTGAAAAATTTCCGGCGCACAGTTTAAACCGAAAACTAACCTCTTAAGGTGCGATTTCATGGGCGTCAGTTGACGCGCGTCAAGACGATTTTGTGACGTCATGTTGTTTCTGCGTCGACGCTGAAGAAGTTCAGATTTTCCAACTTCTAGCGTCAAAGTGTCATGTCGGTTATGTCGGTTCGTTCTTCGTTCAAAAAGCGAAATGGATTCATTCGATGTAAGTAGTAACGTAGTAACTTAATCAATTACATACTATTGTAAAATTATTTATATATATTGAATATATTAAATGTATTGAAGAAATAAATTTAATTCCAGCAATTTTTGGTAAATACATGTGGTGTTTGCGAAACTATTGTTAATGAAACGGAGATGGCTCAGCACAGTTGTGTGGCAGGATTTCCAACCATTTTCATCAATAATGAGTCAAGATATTTTTATCCGCAATGTGGTAAATTAATCCAATTAAAAGTATTGATTTTATGAAAATCCTAATTTTAAGGTTAACATTATATATTGAGTTCCAAAACGTCCTACGAGGAAAATTTTCCTGGACATAATATAGTATACGTTACGTACTATATATTTCAAGTAAAACTTTCCTCGTAAAAAACAAACATGATAGTATCGCACCAAGTAAAGTGCAAGTGCAAGACCGTCTCGGTATATTTATACAACATAAAAATATTGTTGTTAAATTAGGACAAACCTATCAATGTTTGTTATTTGTACGTTACATTAAACATAACTTGTAATGTGTATAATAATTGCTTGTAGAAAATGGAGACATAATTCGCAAGAGCGCTCTACCAGGAGGCATGGAAGAAATTGTTGTTGACCCGATAACATTACAACAAGACCCTGATGAATCCGTTTCTGAGGCGATCAACTCTTTTAACCAATCTAATAATATAGACGAAAGACTGATTGAAGAAGTGAGAAGGCATGAGCCACTATATAATTTTCGATTGCCTCTTACCCAACGTGGTCGAAAACAAACAAAGCAGATGTGGCAGGATATTTCTACTGAATTAAATGGTAATGCATTATATTACGTACTTTATCTTTGTAATTAATTTATATTTGAAATAAATATTTATAAATATTTTGTACTTTAGGAGAAATAAGCGCTGATGGTGCTGCGAAGCGTTGGAAATCATTGAGAGACACCTTCATGAAGATTATTGCTGATAAGCGGCAGCCGAGTGGCTCCGGCAGTTTCTCGACGGAAAAAGTGGCGGTTTCATGACCAAATGTCTTTTGTTCGCGACACATTGTTAAATAAACCGTATTAAAACTTTATATCAATTTTTTGCATTAATTCCCTTTAAGTTCCCATTAAGTTCCCAAATTAATGTTTATAATGTTATTCAAGATATTTCATTTTGCAGAACAATCTCTAATGAAAGCCAGCGGCAATCTTTTTCTGAAGAGGATGCGTCAAGTAGTTCCCAAACGGGTAAGCATTTTTATTCATTTAATTCCAAGAAAAGTATTTTACAACAAAGTGACTATTATCCAATGAAGGATATACGAATATTATCTTTTTATAGTTTATACCAATTACAAAAATTAATTTTTTCAATAAATTGTCCCTAACAGATAAAAGTTCCAGTAGAAATTTGAAGGACTCCATCGAGCGAATGGCTGAAGCAATTAGTACTCCGTTGCCACCTGTGAAACTTCCACCAATGCCTCAGGTCACTGAGTTTGACAGCTTTGGTATAGTCGTGGCACCCAAACTAAAAAACCTTTCAAAAAGAAAAAGCAACGCAGTGATGTGCCACATCTTGCAAATACTTTGCAACGCTGAGCTAGAAGAAGACGCTGGTTGTGAAATAAATACACAATAAAATATTTATATTTAAATACACATAAAGTTTAATATTAAAGAAAAACAGAATGATACTTGTGTCGACTCGTGTCGCTAGTTGGAAAGCTCCCAAAATGTTTATTTAATACAAATGTTTATACATGTTAACATTTTATGTTTACACAATAAAATGTTTATTAGAAAATTTAATTCAGAGAATTATTATGTCCTTTTATGTACAAATAGGTTATTTTTCAATAATAAAGTACATTTAATAGTAAACCACTATTGTTTGTAAATCTGTAAAAATTGCCATGCTACTGCACCCTCTTCATTGAAAAATATTCACAAAAATTATTTCTGATAGCAGCGGAAATACGAGAATGGTTATTTGTTCCACAGGAATTGATATCATTGAAAGCGTTGTTATTTGTAACTGTACATCTCCATTGTCCTGGTATTATATCATAATTTTCATCTTCACGATCAATCAATTCCGGATTTCCATAATTTCCTGCGTTATTAATATTGCTCTTTCGTAAAAAATTATGCAAACAAATTGTTGCTTGCACTATCTTAATCACGTTTTCTATTGATGCTAAAATGGGTTTTCTGAAGATTCTCCATTGGCTGGCCAGTATTCCAAATGAATTCTCGATCATCCTTCTAGCTCGGCTTAACCGATAGTTGTAAATACGCTGCTCCGTTGAGAGTCCATCTTTTCCCGAATATGGTCGAAGTAAGTAAGGAGTTAAAGGAAATGCTTCATCGGCTACGATAACGTATGGCAAATCAGGTCCATTTTCCCAAAGTGGCTTAGGTGCTGGCAAATCCATTGTATTGGCTTCCAACTTTTGGCCAAGTAGCGAGTGTTTAAATATACCCCCATCACTTTGTCTACCGTAAGCTCCAATATCTACCGAGACAAACATGTAATTAGCATCACACATCGCTAACAGCACAATACTATGAGCTCCTTTGTAGTTGTAATATGCGGATCCACTTTTATTAGGACACTAAAAGAACACATAAAAATTAGTTTTATATTTCAGTCATATAAATTGCACATCAATTTATATATTTTATTTACTACAATTCTCAGTGAGAGTAAAAGTTATGTCAATGTTAATACATACTTGAATCATTATGTGTTTTTCATCCAAAGCTCCTATGCAATTTGGAAATTGACATTTTTCATTAAAACTTTTGGAGACTGCTAGCCATTCAGCTTTCATATTAGGCTTCAAAACCACAGGACACAACGCATTCCATATAGCTTGACACGTTTCTTTAATAATGTTGCTTACTGTTGTAATTCCCAACAGATATTGATATGACAGAGACATCATACTATCACCGGATGCTAAAAACCTGAAATACCAAAAAGAAATCTGAAAAGTTTGAACCCAATACTTTTAAACTAAGAATGCTTTTCTCAAAACTGTGAGTGAAATCATATTTTTATAAAGTATATACAAACCTTAAAGTCAATGCTAATCGCTCTGGTGCAGAAATTGGATCACGCACAACATATTGTTTGCTTATCGTTGGCCCTACTAAGCACAACAATTCTTCAAATTCAGTTGCAGACATACGACAATAATTTATAAATCG